TGACAACTTATTAAAGGTATCGTGACATTTGACTTCAACAACAAAAATTTGATTGAACATGAAAACATGAATTGAATTATCTGAAGTTTTACCATGTTTACTCCAAGATATATTTTTCACAGATTATAAACATACATTTATTATGATAAAAATGAGTTTTGATTGGTTGGTGTGTTAATAATCGGAAAGTTTAATATCAAATGAAAAGTATGACTATGTTAAAATACAAAATTATTTATTCTTCATGTCTACAGGTAAAGAATTTTCATTAATTAATTTAATCATGGTAATGCTAAGTATGAAGCAGCGATTAAATATTATAAGTTACATTTGATTGTCCCCCTTATTGCCTCTCATTGTCCATATGAGCCATGGTAATCTTAACACATGTAAATGCCTCCGTGGCAGTGACTATGAATAGAATATCATTGTCTATAAATTGGTATCAATACAATATTAACATAAAAATGCATTGATACATCGATTTTGTGATGCTGTGACATTGCTATCTGAAGCACAATATTCATGGTAGTCCTTTAGTTATTAAATAAGGTCTATTTCAAACCAGCTCTTGCTAGATGTTTTGTAATTTCTTTGTTTTTGAAAATTGTTGTTGGTAGGTGGAAGGAAAGACATTTTAGATTATTTCTTTTCTGTTTGTGAATGTCAGTTAGCCATTTGGAAGGAAATGAAACAGGTGCTTGGTGCTTGTAAGTAATTTTAATGCATTTGCTAAATATGTGAAAAGTTGCGAACAACATTGCCACCACTTGCTTCCCTGAGTTGTCTCCCTTACTATGAACAGAGACTGTTCCAAAATGACTCATCCTGGATCAAAATAATTCAACTATTGACGTCATCTTTTCTTGTGTTAAGATTCACTAAGTGCATAAGGTTTAGAATCTTGTAGTGCAAAGAGTGTACGTTACTTTACATGATTTTTTATATGTTTCTAACTCCATTAAAGCTTAAACATTACAGTTAGTTCCGATAGATAATTAAAGTTAACAATATCTTCACACATTGTTGATATCAACTTTCACAAAATGTGTCTGAATGAAATCATTGACATCATTAAGCGCAAATGCAATGCAAGCCATTGTACAATTAGCCAATCAGGATTTATGTTATTAGTAGGTACTGCTTGTTGTGTTAGAAACATAAAATATATTATTGCATGGTTTGCCAAACAAGTGGGAGAGAATCTCTTGCAACTGAAATATTTTAATATGTATGCAATCTTAAGTCTGTTGCCATGTGATGTAGACAAATAGTGTGAACGTGTGATGCACAGACTACAGGGCATGTTGCAACTAAGGCTGTTATGATTCACTCGCTTATTCAGTGAATTGAACTGTATCAATTCATGAATGCAATTCATTATTTGCTATCACTTGAATCGAATATTTAGTGATTGAGAGTTTTCACTTTAATTTTCTTGTTATTTATAAATAAAGGAATATATCTGGACAGGTAGTAAAGAAGCCGGCACTCTTATACACCTGGGCCCTGTTTCACAAAGCTCTTGCAGCGTTACGACTATCGTAAGTCAATGTTACAGTATAGGAGGCACGAATGCTGCGTGAGAAAAGTTATGAAATCTTTGGCTTACGAGAGCTTTGTGAAACGTGGCCCTGGGTGGTGAGGTAGCCTAGTGGTTAAAGTGTTAGCTCATCACGCTGAAGACATAGGGTTGGATTCCCCACATGGGCACAATGTGTGAAGCCCATTTTTGGCGTCCCCTGCCGTGATATTGCTGGAATATTGCTAAAATAAGCGTAAAACCAAACTCACTCACTCTCTCTTGTACATATACTTTGACTATACGTGATCACTGGTCATTGACACTATCGATATTGTTAAAACAGGTAAAAAATGATTTGACATTGTCTCACTATACATAAGGAAACACAGATCTGCTGTTGACTTGCTGTGGTAATCGTTGCCCAATGTCAGTGATATGTATCATACTCGCCTCATACTGGATTCGTTGTAGCCCACTCATTTATCAGGAGGTTGGACCACACCTTCACTTTATAGTTGCTGGTCAAGGGGCTGGACTCTTTGGCAGCAGTCTGTAAATAGTCTGGACCTGACAATCCAGTGATCAATGACATGAGGATCGATCTACACAATTGGGACATGTATCAACCAAGTCAGGGCACGTGACCACCCGATCCCATTAGTTATCCCTTAAGACAAGCACAGGTTGCTGAAGACCAATTCTAATCCAGATCTTCACTGGTCAGCTGAAACAGGAAGCTAGAATATACAGCTAGATTCACAGGCTGTGCCAAACACTTTCAGTCTACTAGCACACTATTTGCTCTTTACATTATTTAGATTTAGATAAGACTATCATTAGCAAGACCAAACAGAATATTACAAGACAGGGATTTCATCACGGACTCAGCAGTCACTTCTGCAATAATTGTCCTGACTCCCAAACACATCCCGATTCAAATGTGCAAAACAAAATTCTCCAAAATGTTGTCAGCCATTTGATGAAATGAAAGCCAAATATGTTTTCAATATCAGTATGTGATATAAAAAGCATAATGAGAATAATTAATATCTTTAAATGTGACTGTGAATGTGATCTTTTTATGACTGATCTGTTAAGAGAGTACTTCTGATCACCCACTGAAAGGAATTTTGTTTTCGCACCTGAGCTGAAAATGGTGAGGCCTATTAGGGTTTCAGTGTTTAAGAAGGTCACGTTTACACTTAACACAACAGCAATACCCCTTGTTGCCACAACAGCATACTTTAACATTTAGACAGACATTTTGATAAGATGGCTTCATAGAACAAAATCCTTATCATTTTTCTGAAGATTGCTTATCCTGTGTAGATTTGTGTGGCTCTTCTAATTATGATATTCTGATTATGAAATTTGTTTTTGTCATTTTTACCTGTTTTTTTCTTTTGTTTTCTGAAAGTTGACAATTCGATGACCTTCAAACAAGCATTACCTGCTGGGAAGTCTTGTAAACATTTATATGTCAGTGTTTCAGTGAAGGTTGTACAGAATTAAAACATCATGGGTGATCTAATTTTAATAACTTGTGGGTTTGAGCTGAAAAACTCTTCTTGATGTCATAAATGTGAGCTGTCTTGTTCCACGCTGGAGCTATTTCTGTGATGCAGGTTGGAGTTGGATGAGGAGGCAGAACAGAGGACCTGGTGGTTTGAGTCTTGTTTGTACTGTCATACACTTTGATTAGTTGACATACTGGATTGTATACCTCTCATTTAGGGAGGATGGTCAGGGACCTTTTAGGCTCCAGTTCAAAGTGTTTATAAAGGCATGTTGTGTTGGACTAATCTCTGAAAGAAAAAGTAATTTCGAATCTCTGACACAATGTTTGAAGCAGCAAGATGCCATGCATGTTCTCAACTTGAAAACTTCCACACTGTTCATTGCAATGATAGACATAATGGATTCTTGGCCATCAGGTTGTTACCAGCTAGCCCAAGACTAGTAAAATTCAAAACAGACTAGTAACAATTCTTTGTGAACTATTACCTCAACCATGAGGTGGAGGACATATCTGTAGCAACACATTTTGTTAACCATTGAAAATAGAATTTAATTTTTTGATTCTGCCCAGATATTGGTCATGAGTCCTCTGGACACAGAAACACTACTGGTAGGATAGACCAGATAGAGACAATAACATGCACGTTATTAACCGAGTGAGTTTAGTTTTACGCCACACTCAGCAATATTCCAGCTATATCAGGGGTGGAAATAACCTTAAAATTGCTAGTGTACTCCGGTACAGTGGCACATGTAAAATCACTTTCCCTGATAATTTTTCCACTATACCGTGATTTTTTAAATAAACAACATAATTAACATTGGGAAGTCAACTGGACACCGGTACAGTGTGATATACAAATTTGCTTGCCTCACAGAAAAAAACACTGGACTCGTACGTCGGGCAATGGGCTATTTCCACCCCTGTATATGGCGGCTATCTGTAAATAATCGAGTCTGGACCAGACAATCCAGTGATTAACTGAAGCCATCCATCATTGAAGTGTTTGTAAGCTAACCGTGGACCATGTCATACATAGTGAAACCTATTTCCTGTCGGTTATCATAAAACATTGGTGCCTGATAGGGGCAGTGGGGCAGCCTAGTGGTTAAAGTGTTCGCTCCTCACGCTGAAGACCCGGGTTCGATTCCCCACTTCAGTACAATGTGTGAAGCCCATTTCTGGTGTTCTCCACCTTGATATTGCTGGAATATTGATAAAAGCAGCGTAAAACTAAACTCTCTCACTGGTGCCTGAATATGCCCAAGCAGATTACTGTCGGGAATATTTTATATACAAGGAAAAGGACATTACTGCATTTGCCTAAAAAAATGTAAGACGAAAATTCACATCTTTCTTGATTTGTCAATGTAATCAACACAATAATTACTGTGGACATAACTGACATTTGTATTGTCATCTTAATATTTCTTGAAAATGTGAGTTTTAAATGTATTCATAGATTGCTTTCAAATGTTTGAAAATGTGTTTCAAATTCCTTTTGGTCAAGATTTAGAGTTCCTTGAGAACTGAAAAGGCTTCTGATGTTTGGTTGATGAGTGGTTCCAAGCAGAGAGCTGTACATACATTTGATAATGGTCGTCTTGGGCATGATGCTGTCACGTGCATTAGCAGCTGCTGCCTGTGCTAATATTGCCATTATCTGTCGCATGATTGATCGCCTTCTACATGGAATACTTGCACAAGTACACATATAGGGCCCAAAATACCCTGAATCTCTATAAGCAGACACGCTGGTCATTCCTGGTAAAAGGACATACTTATTATGTGATCTTGGGTTCAGCATAATATCTGATGGTAATGGGTTTCAAGACAAGTTGTAAAGATGCTTGTTTGGAAAAAGTGGGCGCTGTTGTACTTGAGATTGTCACCATCCACTATTGGTACTATTATTGGATTTTGCTGCTATTTTCACCTTCTTTTGCTTGTTTTCAGAAGTCTGCCATGATCGCCATGGACCATCTTACTTGATATCGTCAGGTGAGTTACTTAATATCATCTTAGGTTTCATATTTCTTGGACCCAGTGGGGATTCTGGGTTAGAAATTTTCCCCAGCAACCCATGTTGGTGGTTGTAAGATTTGACTCAACGGACCTGGTGGCTGAGATTTGGTGACTTGGTTGATGACGTGTTATGAAACCCAGACGGCATGGTATGTCGATCACAGTGGAATGTGTGGTCCAGACTTGATGATGTACAGATCTTGTCATGGAACTGGAACATTCCTGAGTGTGATGTTAACAGCACTCATGCATGCACAGACACATACACATGCAGACGCAGACACAGCCACTTGCAGATCTAGACACAGCCACTTGCAGATGCAGACACAGCCACATGCAGATGGAGACACAGCCACATGCAGATGCAGACACAGCCACATGCAGACGCAGAACACACACAGCACATGCAGATGCACAGCCACAGATGCAGCAGCCACATGCAGATGCAGACACAGCCACATGCAGATGCAGACACAGCCACTTGCAGATGCAGACACAGCCACATGCAGATGGAACAGCCACATGCAGACATGCAGACACAGCCACATGCAGATCAGACACAGCCACATGCAGATGCAGACACAGCCACATGCAGATGGAGACACAGCCACATGCAGATGGAGACACAGCCACATGCAGATCTAGACACAGCCACATGCGGACGCAGACACAACCACATGCAGATGGAGACACAGCCACTTGCAGATGGAGACACAGCCACATGCAGATCTAGACAGCCACTTGCAGACGCAGACACAGCCACATGCAGATGGAGACACAGCCACATGCAGACGCAGACACAGCCACATGCAGATCTAGACAGCCACTTGCAGACGCAGACACAGCCACATGCAGATGGAGACACAGCCACATGCAGATGCAGACACAGCCACATGCAGATGGAGACACAGCCACTTGCAGATGCAGACACAGCCACATGCAGATGGAGACACAGCCACATGCAGGAACGCAGACACAGCCACAGCCACTTGCAGACGGAGACACAGCCACTTGCAGACGGAGACACAGCCACATGCAGATGCAGACACAGCCACTTGCAGACGGAGACACAGCCACATGAAGATGGAGACACAGCCACATGCAGGCACAGACACAGCCACTTGCAGATGCAGACACAGCCACATGCAGATGGAGACACAGCCACATGCAGATGGAGACACAGACACATGCAGGCACAGACACAGCCACTTGCAGACGGAGACACAGCCACTTGCAGACGGAGACACAGCCACATGCAGATGCAGCCACATGCAGATGCAGACACAGCCACTTGCAGATGCAGACACAGCCACATGCAGACGCAGACACAGCCACTTGCAGATGCAGACACAGCCACATGCAGATGCAGACACAGCCACATGCAGACGAGAGACACAGCCACTTGCAGATGGAGACACAGCCACATGCAGGCGCAGAGCGCATGAGACACAGCCACTTGCAGATGGAGACACAGCCACTTGCATGCAGGCGCGGAACACAGCCACATGCAGACACAGACACAGCCACTGCAGATGCACTTGAGACACAGCCACATGCAGATGGAGACACAGCCACATGCAGATGTAGACACAGCCACATGCGGACGCAGACACAGCCACATGCAGATTGAGACACAGCCACATGCAGATGCAGATGGAGACACAGCCACATGCAGATGGAGACACAGCCACATGCAGACGCAGACACAGCCACATGCAGACGGAGACACAGCCACTTGCAGATGGAGACACAGCCACATGCAGATGGAGACACAGCCACATGCAGATGGAGATGCAGACACACTTGCAGATGGACACACACAGCCACATGCAGAGATGGAGACACAGCCACTTGCAGATGCAGACACAGCCACATGCAGATGCAGACACTTGCCAGACACATGCAGATGCAGACAGCCAGCCACATGCAGATGGAGACACAGCCACATGCAGATGCAGACACAGCCACATGCAGATGCAGACACATGCAGATGGACACAGACACATGCAGATGCAGATGCAGACACAGCCACATGCAGATGCAGACACAGCCACATGCAGACGCAGACACAGCCACATGCAGAGACACAGCCACATGCACAGACACATGCAGATGCAGACACAGCCACTTGCCACATGCAGACACAGCCACATGCAGACACAGACACAATCACTTGCAGACACAGACACAATCACTTGCAGCCACTTGCAGACAGACACAGACACATGCAGACACAGCCACTTGCAGATGCAGACACAGCCACTTGCAGACACAGACACAGACACAGCCAGACACAGACAGACACAGCCACATGCAGATGCAGACACAGCCACTTGCAGATGCAGACACAGCCACATGCAGATGGACACAGACACAGCCACTTGCAGATGCAGACACAGACACAGCCACTTGCAGATGCAGACACAGCCACATGCAGATGCAGACACAGCCACTTGCAGATGCAGACACAGCCACTTGCAGATGCAGACACAGCCACTTGCAGATGCAGACACAGACACTTGCAGACACAGACACAGCCACTTGCAGATGCAGACGCAGCCACTTGCAGACACAGACACAGCCACATGCAGACGCGCAGCCACATACAGACACAGCCACTTGCAGATGCAGACACAGCCACTTGCAGACGCAGACACGGCCACTTGCAGACGCAGACACAGCCAATTGCAGATGCAGACACAGCCACTTGCAGACGGAGACACAATCACATGCAGACACACAGCTACATGCAGACGCAGACACAGCCACTTGCAGATGCAGACACTGCCACTTGCAGACACAGCCACGTGCAGACACAACCACATGCAGACGCAGACACAGCCACTTGCAGATGCAGACACCGCCACTTGCAGACACAGACACAGCCACATGCAGACACAGACACTTGCAGACACAGACACAGACACTTGCAGACACAGCCACTTGCAGACACAGACACAGCCACTTGCAGATGCAGACAAAGACACTTGCAGACACAGACACAGACACTTGCAGACACAGACACAGCCACTTGCAGACACAGCCACAGCCACATGCAGACACAGACACAGCCACTTGCAGACACAGACACAGCCACATGCAGACGCAGCCACATGCAGACGCAGACACAGCCACTTGCAGACGCAGCCACAGACACATGCAGACGCAGACACAGCCACTTGCAGATGCAGACACAGCCACTTGCAGACGCAGACACAGCCACTTGCAGACACAGCCACTTGGAGATGCAGACACAGCCACTTGCAGATGCAGACGCAGCCACATGCAGATGCAGACACAGCCACTTGCAGACGCAGACACAGCCACTTGCAGATGCAGACACAGCCACATGCAGACGGAGACACAGCCACTTGCAGATGCAGACACAGCCACTTGCAGACGCAGACACAGCCACATGCAGACACAGACACAGCCACTTGGAGATGCAGACACAGCCACATGCAGACACAGACACAGCCACATGCAGATGCAGACACATGCAGACGCAGACACAGCCACTTGCATGCAGACACAGCCACATGCAGACGCAGCCACATGCAGACACAGACACAGCCACTTGGAGATTCAGACACAGCCACTTGCAGACACAGACACAGCCACATGCAGATGCAGACACATGCAGATGAGACACAGCCACTTGCAGATGCAGACACAGCCACATGCAGACGCAGCCACACAGCCAGATGCAGGCGGACACAGACACAGACACATGCAGATGGAGACACAGCCACTTGCAGACACAGCCACATGCAGATGGAGACACAGCCACATGCAGATGAAGACAAAGACAAAGTAGCAGCAGCAGACGAACTCAGTGCAAGCTTATTTAACGGGTACTGATCCACAGACTGTTTGTTTCATCCATTCTAGCAGCAGCAGTTAAGCTGAACTAAAACTTTATTCCTCCAATACTTGGTAATCACATCTGAATTTTTCTCAGGACCCTTTGGCTATTCAGTCACCTTGAACTGGAAAGGACCCTTTCTCCTTTAAAGAAATCAAACTGTCAAATTATGAGTACATTTTCACTTCTTTGAGTGGCTTTTAGAAGTTGGGAAATACAATATAGAACTTTTTTTTTTATGGATAACAACTGTCCAAATTATTGAGTACATTTTAGTAAAGAATTTTGCCTTTGACTGGGCCATTCTCTGCAGAAATTATTGAATAAAATGCTTTTAAGTGTTGTGGGAATGTTGGTAAGATCCTCCTTCTCACCAAACTATGCATTTAATTTTGAAAACAACTGACCTGTCCGACATGGAGTGAATGGAATCAGCTCATAACATGTGATTCATCTGTTCTCTGGTTGGAAGACAAACACCTGAATACCTCAAAAAGATTTATGAGTTCATGATATATTAATTAGATTGGCTGTGGAGATGCTTGCGTTTATGATTTTGGCAGATTCATTGTAATACTTGAAACAAATTGTGCTGAAACATTAATGTGTGACAGATCAGAAGAATCGTTAAAGGTATCATTAATCATTAAGAATAACTATTGACCTTGATCCAGCTATTTAATAATTAATTAATTAATGATAACTTGTTTTAGCCTGTAATGGGAAGGTTTTCAGAGTTTGAAACGATGTTTGATAAATTTCAGTAGGTATCATCCAGTGAGTATGATACAATCAGTCATGCTCCCTATATTTACTAATGTTTTGGGTCAGTATATAAATTATCCCAGATATTTCTTATTACCTCAGTTTGGAGGTGTCGTCTCTGAGGTCAAGGTTGCAAGAATTAGAAAGGACATAATCGTGAATTATGCTTGCAAATCATCTAAATGTTATTGATTTATGATACAAAAAGTTTAGAACATCTCAGTGTATTACTTCATTTTTGAAGTATTTTTCAGTTAACGATAGGTATGTAATTTATATTTTGCAATTTATGTTTCTTCAAAATTTCAAAGATTTGCTATTTTGATTCTCTTAGCTGTTACATCTG